GGCGGGGCGGGGCGGGCCCCCGCGGGCCTCGGGCTCCGGCTGTCCCTGGGGGGCTGGGGGTCGCTGGTCAACCCCACCGGGGTGGCGGCCTGCCGGAGGTCGGGGCGCCTGGCTGTGGCACACGACGGCAAGAAGAGGATCCACGTCTTTGGGCCGAGCGGATCCTGCCTGCAGCGGTTTGGGGAGCGGGGGGACGCGGGCAACGATATCAAGTACCCGCTTGATGTGACGGTCACGTCGGACGGGCATGTGGTGGTCACCGACGGCGGGGACCGCTCCGTGAAGGCCTTTGATTTTGAGGGAAGGGGGGTCCTGGCTGTCCGGGAAGGTTTCTGCTTGCCCTGGGGCTTGGATGCCACCCCCGAGAGTGAAATAATCCTGACGGACTCGGAGGCAGGCGCTCTCTACCGCCTGACGGCCGACTTCAAGAAGGGGAAATTAAAGAAGTGTCAGATGATCTGGTCTCGGCTCATCAGCCCAAGAGGGGTTGCGGTCTCCCAGACCTCAGGTGCTGTCGTGGTAGTGGAGCACCTGAAAGCTCAAGGACCGAACAACGGCAGCACCCGAGTGAAGATATTCAGTGCAGAGATGGATCTCGTCGGCCAGATGGATAGCTTCGGTCTGAACCTCGTTTTCCCCGCCAAAATATATACTACGGCTGTGGCCTTTGACAAAGAGGGCCACATTATAGTAACGGATGTCTGTAGCCAGGCCGTAATATGCTTAGGGAAACCTGAGGAGTTTCCCATCTTTAACCCTCTAATTAGCCATGGCCTTTCTTACCCTGTGGGACTGACTTACATGCCAAACAATTCCCTCGCCGTTTTAGACAGCGGTGATCATTCAATAAAAATATATAGCTCCACCTGAACGGGTTCAGATGCTTACTGCTATAGGTTCAAGCTGCTTTTGGCCACAGAGCAAGCAAAGTTCTGCTGTTAGGAGGCGTATAGAGAGGAGGCATGTTCTGGGCTTTACTCTAAGTGAAATTGCCCTCTTTGACCAACACGCTGTGCTTCCTGCAAAACTTACATCAAATCTCTTGCCTGTCCGCGGGAGAAGACCTGGCCGTTGCAGGCTGTAGTCAACAACAAATCAACCAAAGCAATAATTTGGCATTTTAAAACTATTCCATACCTTGACAACCAAACGTTTTTGGTACTTTTTGACAAGTAATAACAACGACATTTGGAATGGAGTAATCAAAGACCGGCACCTGGGAGAGAAAGCGATGCATCATTTGTTTACGTTTCCCAGCACATAGTTTTCATTATTCTTGGTTAAGCATAGCTACACTCATGAAAGTGACAGTGGTTTCTGTTTCCAGGATTTCTGAATGAGAAAGGAGACTGGCTTGACAAAATGGTAGGAGAGATGGAAGCTTCAGTTCAGATCCGGCTAAGATCATTGTGATGGAGGAGCTACCACTGATCAGTGAGTTACGTGAAGTGAATTGGTGCTCAAAGCCTATTTTTTCCATACCAGGGAAACGCACTTCTGGGATCGCTCTTCTCTGTACTGGTTTATTCCCACCTTTGTTAGAGTTATACTGGAGCACTTGGTCTTCCTGTATAATGCACAAGTCTGTGTCTTTACCTAGAGATACTTTGGTGTGTGGTTAACAGCATGAGCAGCTTTCCCTAAAAGCCTCTTGAAGTATTTGTGTTTGCCTATATAAAATTGAGTTGTCTTTGCTGCTAACACAGCTACACTTGGGAGTTTTCCAATATTGCCTGCCTCTCTCTTGTCATTAATATGGTACTTTTGCACCCCAAACTCCAAGATTCAACTGAAAATTGAAATGTTGGTGAGAAGTAATAGGGAAAGGGGGACATAAGCCGCATTTTTTTTCCTAGCTTCCAAATGAGGTTTTGTTGATTGTGAATACACAGCAGGTTTACTCCAGTTTATATTCCCTTGGAAAACAGTTTCACTGTGGACATGAGTTCTGTTGCCTTATTGCACAGTGGAAATTAAGGTATATCTGAGTTATTTTGAGAAGGATTTAACACGCCCACTAGAAGTCACTGCTACATTTTTAGGCATTTACCTGCTACTAAAATAATTACTTAGGCAGTTCAGCATTAACAGGAAGTTAGATATAAATGTAAATGCTATCTCAGGTAGAGACAAGTAGGTTAAAATGGCATAAAACTCTTGGGGTCATTCTTTTATTTAGTCACTGAAATCATGAATGTTAACTAACATAATTTGAAATTCACAGGCGATCTTCCTATCGGTAAACTTTTAATCTGGCTTTTGGTCTGACTCTAGGGCATTTAATAACTGCATGTATTGCTGCATCAGTGACTTACCATATACTTACTTTAAACTGGAGTGGTTTTAGCCCTCTAATTCAGACAGTGTATTAATCTGTCTCATGTTAGCATTTATATAAACAAAACAAATAATTAAATGCAGCTATTTGTAAAGGTTAATTGAACAGTGACCTGCCAATAAAGTGTGATTTGCTTACTCCTATATTGAATAATTTAGTGAAAACTCCTCATATCTTTTTATCATGGGCTTCTCTGTTACAATTGAATTTCTCTATTGCGGTTGTCCTGTACATGGTTTCTTTTTTTGTTTGGAGATATCCTGCTACAGTTGTTGTTGGGTCATTTTTTGCTATTGAAAAATATATGGACCTGCACATCTGGTCTTCTCCAGCCTTCTCTACTGCCAGGCCACACAGTACGTGCCTTTGGTAGGACCAGAAATGCTCCTTGGCTGTTCTGCAGTAGAAGGTGTACAGCCCTGAGCAGGAGCCCTCTTGAGGGGTCAGGAAGGAAGTTTACTCCGAGGAGCAGCCCCCAGGATTATATATTCCTTTCTAGGTGCCAAGGAGACGTCTGTCTTTGAGGGATATAAAAACAATTAGTTAACACTTCCTTTGGGGAACTGCTGTGTTTCAAAATGCATGCAATACCAACCATGCTGTATTCAGACATAATTAATAGTTTATCGCAATAGCACTTGAGGGATCTGGACCCTTCCTCTGAACCGTGGGCTGTGAGCTTTCATCTCCTCAAACCTTCGTGTGCACCAGGAGCTTGTTTTTGCTACTGAGCTCACGGGTGGGCAAATTTCCTAGCACCTACTGCCATGCAGGCAACTTTCCAGTGGCTGAAATGCGGATTTTTAAGTATTTGACTCATACTGTTTTAAAATCCACAAAAACTCCCATTGTTGCCCATTCTGCTCCTATCTCCTTTGATATATGACTAGAAACCACTTGATGTTTGGGTTTGTAAGCAAAATAAACTTTGTGCCTTTATTCTACCTAGTTTGCTGTATGCCATCTCCTGCAGTCTGTGCTTTACCTGCTGCAAGGAAATCCAGACTTTTTCTGTGAATGATGCAGCTGTTTTCCTTTTGCTGGAAAGCTTGGTGCTTAGCGTTGTGCAACACTGCATCAAAGAAACCATTGCCTTCTGTCTTAATTCATTTGATGCAGGTGTCTAAATTGAGAAGTCATAAAGGACTATATAAAACCACTAATTAAAAATTCTGAGTTCTTCAGTGTGTAAGGGAAAATGCAGCAGTAAACCTGAAATCTTTCTTTTGTCACACAAGGGAATTCAAGAGATGATGGGAGACAGAGATCCACCAATATGCTGATAGCAAGCTAAAAAGCCTTTGACGTTTCTACTTACTCTTGCCTCTTCCGTTATGCATATATGCACATTTCCCCTATAGCTACTGTAGATATCCATTGCCTTCAGGATGGTACCTTAATGCCATCTGCCATTCAAAGGCCCAGGGGACACGTACTGCTCCTGTCCATCTGCGAATCTGTTGCAGTTCAGTCACAGATTTCAACAGAACAAAAACTTGCGTTCTGAGAGGGATGGCAAAGGGTCGGGGCACCTATGACTCGGTAGGTGGTGCTTTGGGAGTCTGACTGGATATGCTTAAAATGGGGTTAGCTAGATGTGTGCTTACCCTTGGAAAAGAGCGCTGGCCATTTCATCTAGAATGTAACCTGACGACTGTGTCTAGTTGCTTCAGTGATAAGTTACTGTTGCATTTATTTAAGAAAAAAAAAAAAAAAGAACCTAAACTAAACTTTGCATAACCCTCTGTACCACCCTCTGTACCTCAAGCTTTAACAATTTGGATTAAAACCAAACACATAAAATGAACAGTATTCCCCTAATGTCACCTCTTCAGCCTCTGCTGTAGATCGGCGTGTCTGTTGTGCACACACACACTGCGATTCCTATTTGGTTTATTTTTAAGCACTGATCTCAGGTTGCTATCCTTGCATATAAATATAGCAGGGTATGTTTACAGTGTTTAGGAATAAAGGAGGCAGGGGAGTTTCAGAAATGTGTATTGAAATTGTGTCCTGTAACATACAGATTTTTTGGTTTGCTTGTGAAGAACATAATTTTAGATAAGGAATAGAATCAGTTCTTCAGATCGATGAATAAAAAGAGGAAATACAGAAAAAAAAGGTAAATTTTACTTAATTTTGGCCATTGTCCGTTTGACCATCTCTCCGTTCCCTCCAGCCACATTGCTGTGCACATGAGTTTGATGTTTATAGTTTCACAAAGCGTGGATGTAACGCCACCATAGCATGTTTTTAACATGGACTGATTTCAGGTGAAGAGGGGGCCTCCTGTAACGTCCAGCCCCCAAACCACTGAGAATTTCACAGAGCAGGGCCCATTAAAATGATGGTCTTGAATACAGGAGAGCTTTCCTTTCTGGAAGGGTTGACAGAGGTAAAAAAGCAGCTTTCTCCGCTGGCACCATGGGTTATGGTGCTGTCGCACCCTGCACAGGAGGAATTTGCCTTCATTTCTTTCTCTTCAATGATGTTTGGCGTCTTTTTTTCTGACTCTTCTCGGAGGCCCATCCTTATAGTTTGCAAGTCACCTGCGTGAAACAGCTTGCCTCCACAAGAGTATGATATAACTAAAGCAAAAATACACAGATTGTGCAAAATGAGTTCTAAACCTCACAATTCATTCAGGCGTCTCGGGAGAAGTGACAGATCATTCAGAACGCAGCAAGCGCCCGAGGCCTAGCCCCTCTGTAGACAGTTTTCAATTTGCTCGTAACAGGATTTTCTCCCCTCGTTACCTTCAGTTCCCCTATAAGTACACCAGAAGCCTCTATATAGAATCCACTGTCCTATTCTAGAAAAGTCTGGTGGGAAACGACTCATAAGAGGTTGCCTTTTGTAACCTTCTTGTCAGGTCTATTGTGCAGTTTCTTGATCAGCCCTGTCCAGGCCCAGCAATTGCTCTTTGAGTTGCCAGCTCATCCGATGCAGCAGGCTGTCTTGGTTTGGCCAGCTGTGTTCGAAAGTGCTTCCATCTGAACAGAGGATTTTCCAGGTGGAGTGTATAGCCCCCAGCAACAGGGGGGCTTTCTCCTGACCTTGCCTACTTGTTTTAACTTGATGTGAAGGCTGCAGAGCCAGCACGAAGGCACGAACGAGGCTCTGGAAACAAAGCAGAGATTACCGTCTGAAATAGGTACGTACAGAGATCGAAATTGCCAAAAGAATTCAAAATTCGTCATGTCACGTATGCAGTCAGTGACTGTAAAGAGGAACAGGCCAGGCAGACCTGAAATAAGGTATCGGTCTGCCTCGCCATGCAATGCCCAACCATCGCTGGGCAGAAGGTTGGCTCAGCCTCACTGGAGATGAGCTGAGAACCCATACTGTCCGCTTGATTCCTCTTCAGCAAACCCTTTGTGCTAATTGGGGAATTATTATCATTACCTGTATATAAAAATTCCAAATGTACAAAACATGTACATCTTTAAACTTGAAATACATCAAACCAAAGACCCGCCCAGCATTTTTCCCTTTGCTATGTACTGCTGTGGGTCATCCATCCATCCAGGGG